AAAAAAAAAAAAAAAAAAAAAAAAAGACTGATGAAAACCAAGTTTAATTCTCTGTTTAAATGTTGTATATTGGCAAAAGTAACAGAAAGCATGAATAAAAGAAAAGAAATTAACACCCGTTTTGGGCAAACAGCATTTCTGACTTCATTCTAACGAAGACTTAATTTTGGTGTTTAAAAAACCCTGATTGTCTGGGAAGCTCGATAAAGCAAAAACAAAACGAAACAACACCCCCCGCCCCCGCCAGCTACGAGGCTACTTTGCTGTTATTCAGTAGTTACAAATACTTGGGCAACGTAGTTACCTTTCTAGGGCTTGTTTTCTCAAACATAAAATCTATTTGTACCTCAGTCCAGCTCTCCTATTGCCTCCTGATCCGAGCGGTTGTGGACAATTTAGAAACCTCATTTAACAAATAGTTGGCGTCTAGTGTAAACCAGTACTGCTGTTGCTGCCGAGAAGAAATACCAAAGAAGTACAAGACACAGGATACAGGTTTCTGCCCTTCTAGAGCAAAAAATTCACATAATGAAACGGACCAGACGTGAGTCTAGTTTTTAGTGGGCACAACCTCTCTTTTGTTGGCCTTTAACTATCAAGTACATCAATTGTTGCAACTGCTATGCACGCACTCACCGTGGGAATCCAGCAAATTATTAAATTGGCATTCTAAGACGGAAAATGCAGAATTCCATTGTATTTTAACCTGAGACAGACTCTCGCTCTGTTACCCAGGTTGGAGTGTAGTGGCATCATCATAGCTCACTGCAACCTCAAACTCCTGGGCTCAAGTAATCCTTATCCTCCTGCCCCAGCCTCCCAAGTAGCTGGGACCACAGGCATGGCCACTATGCCCGGCTAATTTTGAAAAAATTTTTTGTAGAGATGAAGGTCTCGCTATTGCACTGGCTGATCTCAAGCAATCCTCCCGCCTTGGCTTCCCAAAGTGCTGGGATTACAGGCGTGGGCTACCGAGCCTGGCCTATTTTCATTTTTAAAGGGTTGAATTAAGAGAGTTAAATTCGGGCTTGGTACTGGGGTGCTTTCAGAGAGGCTTCCCTTACTTCGCCCAGTGACGCTACCTAACGTCACCTGCACTCTAGCACTCGCCACACTTTCCTTCCTGGTTCTAGGTGAAATGGCCCAGTGGGCACGGACCAATGGGCTCGTTGCTTCCCCGCAGCGGGGCGGGACCTCGAGCCTGGGCTTCCGAGACCCGCCCCCCGTACGTGGCGTGCGTGCGTGTCGCTGTGCGGCGCGGCCCGGTTTCCCCAGCGCGTGGCGCCCCCGGGCGGTAGCGGGGTTTCAATGCGACGGCCTGACCTGAGCGCCTGCCATGGAGCCGCAGAAAGAGGCGCGAACGATCTGCGAGCCCCTGGTGGGGCCGCCTGGGGCCTCGCGGTCTCAGACGCTGAACGAGGAGGAGCAGCGGGAGGGCGGCGCAGCGCCGGCGGCGGCTGCTTTGGACGCAGAGGCGGACGGCGCTAGTGCGGACGGGTTGTGGGAGCTGCCAGTGGAGCCGGCCGAGCGGAGGCCCGAGTGCAGCCGCTGCAGGTGACCGCGGGGCCGGGGGCGGGGAGTACGGCTGACGGCGGCCTTCGGAGCAGGCTGCGGCGCCCCCTGCCGGGGAGTGCGCGGCTCTGGCAGGTCTGCGCTTGGGGCAGCGGGGTGGGTGGACCTTGGAATCACTTTGAAATGCCTGACACAGCTCCTTAGAAGCCGTTTATCCAGGTTAGTGATTATTTAACCTTACTTTCTGCAAGACGTTGAGCGTATCATGGGATGAGCAGACATAAGTTCTGTTTCCAAGAAACTTAAGAGTCTGATAGGGGAAGTAAGGCCTAATGACAGTAACACTTGTAATAGTTAGACTTTCATGCTTGAGTGACACGGTGATCTCACAATTAAAAAATACATAAAATAATCGGAGGAGAGAGACAAGCAATGCAGCTACTACACTAGTTCTGAATAGAAATATTTGTCGAGTGCCTGCTGTATACAAAGCACTGTGCTAGGTCCAGGGAATGCAGGGAATGCAGCGATGAATAAAGCAGACATGGTCCTTGCCCTAATTGGGGCATTTACAGTCTAATGAGACAATTTATACAACAAACAAAACAACTAACATTGAATGCTCACAATTGCCTGACTGTTATAAGGGCTTTTTAAGATTATCTCGGTGTGCTTGTGTACTTCAGGCTTGTGAGATTTGCTTGCCCTGTTGGATCTCATGCTGTGCAGATACGCTGCTCTCTTTAACTCCTGAGTGTACAGGCTCATTTTTCCTGGTTACTGAAGGTCTCCATCTATCATCTGTCTCTCTGTTGCCTTCACAATTTAATTACTAGGTAGTGCGTCCACCTCTTCATCTCAGAATCACTCTGCAGTTTGCTATCAGATCCTACACTGCCCTGAAATGGCTCTTACTGAAGGCACCAGTAACCTCCATGAGATGAAATTTAGCGGGTCCTTTTCTGTTCACTTTTTACTAGATCTCTTGGCAGCATTCTGTAGTTGAATACTCATTTCTCGAAACGCACTCTTTCTTTAGTTTCCCTTTGATTTATCTGACTTCTCTATCCTAATCTCCTCCTCCTTCACATTCAAACTCTGAAGGTGAACTTTTTTCTTTTTAAGACAGAGTCTCTGTCGCTCAGGCTAGAGTGCCGTGGCGTCAGCCTAGCTCACAGCAACCTCAGACTCCTGGGCTCAAGTGATCCTCCTGCCTCAGCCTCCCCTAATAGCTGGGACTACAGGCGTGCGCCATGATGCCCTGCTAATTCTTCTATTATTAGTAGAGACGGGGTCTCCTTCTTGCTCAGGCTGGTCTTGAACTCCTGAGCTCAAGCGATTCTCTTGCCTTGGCCTCCCAGAGTGCTAGGATTACAGGTGTGAGCCACCACACCCGGCCAAAATGTGAACAACTTCAGGTCTTGATTCTAGGTTCTCTTCTCTTCTACCCCTAGACGCTTCCCACTGGTGATCTCATCAATTTTCATGCGAAGTTATCACCTGTAACCTAGTTTCTTTATCCCAGCCCTTTCTCCTGAGCACCAGACCTATGCATGCATTTATCAAGTGTTTTTTGAGTGCTTTGCTAGTTACTGACAATACTCCTATGTGTGAAGTATTCATGCTCTTTTTTGATACAGATAAGAGACTAGCAACCAAGCATCCAAATACATAATTACAGGCAGAGACAAAGCAGTGAAGGAAAGGATGGGATACTTGATAGAAAATAGCTAGGTGGTGTCAGGAAAGATCTTGAGATTTGAAAGATGAGAGCATCCAGCCAGGAGAAAAGCATTCCAGGAAGGGGAACAGAAGGACAGACTGTAGTTGAATGTCTTTATCAATTGGGTACATGAAGTATCTTACCTTGGACATTTTGCCTTTTCCTGTGGCTGGATTATAAGACCTCAGAGGAAGGGATCTTGAATGTAAGGATGTTTTTTATATATTCTTATATGTATTTATATATTCTAGAGGTACTATGTGTAGTTAATACTTACTAAACTTTTGAGGAGGGTGGAAAATTTGTGACCAGAAGGGACTGTGAATTTGAACAAAGGGGTGCATGAATTTAATTCATTAAGTTGTCTAACGGGGTTAGGGGATAACATTTAGAGATATTTGGAGGGGTCTCAATAGGATGCTAAAAGAAAAGTGTTCCACATGTAAGTCCAAAGCTAAGTTATTATACTAGCTTTATCATGTAGTTTTTAGTCTATTCAGAATTGTTAATTATAAATTCAATATATAGTTAAAAAAATCAATGTCCTGTATTTAGAAGACATTTATAAGTTTTTTGATCTGGGATTTTTTTTTTTTTTTTTTTTGAGCCAGTGTCTTGCTCTGTCACCCAGGCTGGAGTGCAATGGAGCAATCATAGCTCACTGCAGCCTTGGACTCCTGGGCTCAAGTAATCCTTCCACCTCAGCCTCCCAAATAGCTGAGAGGTGCGTGCCACCGTGCCCACCTAATTTTTAAATTTTTTATAGAAATGGGGTTGCTATGTTGCCTAGGCTGCCCTGGAACTCCTGGCCTCAAGTGGTCCTCCGCTTTGGCCTCCCAAAATGTTCGGATTACAGGCATGAGCGACTGTGCCCAGCCTTGATCTGTTTTTTAATTTTTATTTATTTTTATAATTGAAGGAAGGATATAACCTTTATAGAGACCCTGTATTCCATACATCACACTAATTGCAGGGAAAACTATAGGATACATTGTTTGTTTACTCATTTACTCGTCTATTCATTTAAAAAATATTTTGAGAGTGTAATGTGTGCTAGGTACTTCAGCATTTTGAATAGAATGTAAATGAGACATAGTTACCATCATCCTGGAGTTGAAAGTAGCATGCACTGACAAAGAGAAAAGCATTGACAGTGCAGCATATTACGTGCCGTGATCAGAGAAGTACAGGTGCTTTCTGAAATACAGAGCAAGGGCATTCAATTCAGATTAGGAGCAACAACAAAGTGGAATGACATTTTAGAATAGAAAGGACACTAAAGAGAATAATTTGAATGTTCCTAGCATAAAGAAAAGATAAATATTTAAGGTGATGGGTATCCCAGTGGTTATGTGAATGTGTCAGATTATCACAGGTATCCTGAAAATATGTACATCTGATCTATATCAATAACAATAAATTAATTTTTAAAAAGACCTTAAAAAGGAAGAATTGAAAGGATAAGAGTTGGCTAGACGAATCTGGGAAGGGGCAGGGAAGTGAAGATAAAGAAGGAAGTAATATTCCAAAGTAGAAAACTGCACCTGTATCACTCAAGGTGAAAAAGAACATTGTACCTTCACAGATGGTAACAGCATTGTCTATGGCTGGAAGGCAAAGTTGAAGAGTTAAGAAGGTCAAAGATGAGTCTGGTTCCCATCAAAAAGGACTTTTGTGGGCCCCTCAAGGAATTTATATTTGTCCTGAGGACTATGGGGAATCTTTGAAAGGTTTTTTTGTTGTTTAATTTCAAAATACTAAGGGAGTACAAATGTTTCTGTTACATGGATAGCTTTTGTTATATAATGCTTTAGTCAGGGCTGTTAAGTGTGCCCATTATGTGAATAGTGTTCATTGTACCTGTTAGCTAGGTTTTTACTCCTCCCCTCCTCCCTCATCCCCCCTTTTTGATTTCCAATGATTTTCACTTCTTTCTGTGCCCACTTGTGCCCATCAATTAGTTCCAAATTATTAGAGAGTATATATAGTGTTTGTTTTTCCATTCTTGAGTTAATTCACTTAGGATAATGGTCTTCAGTTTTATCCAAATTGCTGCAACAGACAGTAATTCATTCCCTTCTGTGGCTGAATAGTAGTCCATGGTATATATATATATATATACCACATTTTGTTAATTCACTCATAAATTGATGGGCACTTGGATCGATTCTATACCTTTGCAGTTGTGAATTGTACTGTGATAAACATTTGAGTGCAAGTGTCTTTTTGGGTAGATAACCCAGTAGTGGGATTGCTGGGTCAAATGATAGGTCTGCTTTTAGTTCTTTGAGAAATCTCTGTACTGTTTTCTGTAGAGGTTGTGCTAATTTGCAGTCCCACCAACAGTGTATAAGTGTCCCTTTCTCTCTGCATCCACACCAGCATCTATTGTTTTTGGACTTTTTAATAAAAGCCATTCTGATACAGGTAAAGTGATATCTCGTTGTGGTTTTACTTTTCATTTTCCTGATGATTAGTGATGTTGAGCATTTTATCATATGTTTGTTGACCATTTTCTGTCTTCTTTGGAAAAGCTTCTGTTCATATCTTTTGCCCACTTTTTAATGGGGTCGTTTGTTTTTTTCTTGCCAATTTGTTTGAGTGATCCTTCTGCCTTGGCCTCCCAAAGTGCTGGGTTTATAGGCATGAGCCACTGCGCCCAGCTTTGATCTGTTTTTTAAAAAATAAAAATGACTTGCTGAATTTTAACTTTTTTCAGTTACATTTGGTTAATACTTTAGGATTATAATTTATTCTGACATTTCTGTGCTTTGCTTATTTCTAGTGAAATTTACTACCTTTTAAAAGCTCTTCTTCCCCTTGGCATGCTGTGCATTTTATTTGTTTTAATTGAGTGGAATACAATTCTAGAATTATGGAGAATACTTAGGTGTTATCAGTAAAATATAAACTAATTGATGGCTCTTTATATTTTATTCCACTAGACTGTTAAGAGTTCTTCTAGTTCCCTGGGTGAATTTATTTACACTTATGCTTAAAATAATTTTAAAAATGCATTATTAGATTTAAATGGTCAGTAAATCACAATTATTTGACTATTTACTTAAACAGGATTCATTTCTCTAAAGACATTATTTTAATTGACACAGCCTAGTGAGTTCCAGAAATTGGGTTTGTTTAGGAAGTGCAAAATCAATTTAACTTTTCAGCAGAATCTTGCTTGTTAGAAATACAACATACCTTAAACATGAATGGAACATTCTTTAAAAGATCCCAAACTTGTAATTTATTTTTGCAAAGCATACGTTCTAAATTTATTCTTTCCCTTATGTGTGTTTTGTTTACAAAATCTGACTAT